AAGCGTGGCAACAATAGTGAGGTTGGCCCAGGATCAGGCAGTGTTTCGTTCTGCTGTGCATAAGGTTGCTATGAGTTGGTACCGACTTGATGGCACCTAACAACAACAACATATATACTCATAGAGTACATAAGCACAGTTATAAAAACTACTTAGAAATTTGGACTGAACTTGTGGACTTGAGGAGTCCTGGTGTGGCGCTGTTGGAAAGAATTAGACTGCTAACCACAAGGTTGGCAGTTCAAACCCAACAGCCCCTCTTTGGAAATCCTATACAGGATCACTGTGAGTTGGAACCAACTCATCACTTAGTAACACCAAGTGTGCTTAAAGGCTAAGGACCAGTCTCAGGATATGTAAGTCAGTTGCAAAACACAGATCTTCATGGTAGTTTTCTACATCCTAGCTGATGAGTGGTGCCTGGGGTCTTAAAAAATAGCAAACAGCCATTTAAGAAGCAATTACTGGTCTCTTTTTACCTGAAATAAAGAAGAATGAATAGCGGCAATTGAAGGTATCCGGGCAGCCTCCTTTATCCTGAGACCAGAAGTACTAGATGGTGTCTAGCTGCCACTACCATCCATGCTGACCAGGATCACAATTGGTGGACTGGTCAGAATGGGTAAGAATGTAAAACAAAGCACAACATAAAAGCCAGACTTACTGGTCCTAAAGAGAGGGGAGGAACCCGTGAGACTACTTCCTTAAGACAGCCTTGCAACTTGAAACTGAGGACACCACTGGAGGCCCCCTTTCAGCCAAATAATAGACAGGTCTATAAAGTAAACATAACACCTGTGCATAATGTGCTTAGAACCATCAAGTATATGAGGTCTAAAGGACAAAACTTGACTAAAACCGAAGATGAAAGGCAGAGAGGGACAGGGAAACCAGGTGAAGGGAAATGGGGACCCCCAAGAGGACATGGGAGAGTGCTGAGATATTATAGGGATTGCAACTAATGTCATGGAAAAATTCTGTATAAATTATTGATTGGTTAACTACTATGTAAGCTTTCACTTGAAGCACGATAAAATGTTCAAAAAGAAAAAAAGTTCACAGCAAGGCCAGCGGTTCAAACCCGTCAGCCACTCTTCAGAAACCCTGTACAGGGTTGCTATAGGTCAGAACTGAGTTGACGGCACTTAACAACAAAAATGTTAGCAGTGCTTCAGACAACTTATGAAGGGTGTATAACACTGGGAACCAGGTAAGGGACTGTGAAAGCAACTTGGACTGAAGCAGGTGCGGTACTATTCAGGGGGCAGAAACTATCAGGGAATATTAGTTGACAGGGGCCCATGCCTATTTTACTATGTTCTTTTCCACAATTTATTATTTGAAATAAATAATCAAATGAGTAAGCCAAAAAAAGTTTTTTTAGGTATGCTCACTGTGGAATGATCAACCATTCAAGATCAAAATGGTAACATTTACCTGGGGACAACGTTCAGAGGGGTTGTAAGGATAGTGGAATGGAAATTAGGAACCACAGGGATAGCTCTTGTTACATGAA